TTTTGTTCTAGGAGCCAGTCTAGTCTGCACATGGCTGACAGAAGAAATGATCAAGTAGCAATCCCAAGAGCACAGGCCACAGGTCACACGTCTCCCCTAACACCCTGTTTTAGCTGATCCTTCTAGCAGAGTTAATTGCCACTGGTATAATCCAAAAGGTAACAGAAGAACCAGGCTAGTCTACGTGTTCCTGTGAGTAAAACATCTCAAAGGAACGTTCCTGGTGCTCCTGAAGTGCTCAGGGAAATAACCTTAGGGAAGCGTTTAAATGAATTACAAACCTCTTATAGAACCTAAGCAGCAAAACCTTCCTGTACCTCTTCATCTATCTTTAAATCACGCACACAGATATATATTTTAAGGATACACTGATGCATGGTTGACTTTTCGTTATTCCTTACCTCTCCCCTCACCTCAATACGGTCAGTATTTTCCATGAGAATTCTTTGTATTTTAAGGGGCAAAGTCACAGCAAAATATCCAGTATGCCACCTTAGACGTTTCACCTCTCACTCGCTGATTGGTCCCCACACATTCAGAGCAGTTTTATTGTTCAGTGGACTAGAAATGGAGTCTAGACTCTACCCTTTTCACCTCATGTTGGGGATCATTTAAATTCATAGCAGATGGCTTTGAGTCATTTCTTGTGGTGGCCAGCTTTGTGAAAAGTAGTAACCACTTGTTGAAATTGGTGTTTACTTCTGCAAATAATAAAATATTTCTCTCCACACAAGCCTAGAGATTTTTTTAGATAGTAACATAAGTTTCCCTCATTCTTAAGCTGAGAAAATTGGAGTTAGGCCCATTAGAACTAGCACTTAGGTAACTAGCTTGCATATGTGTTTGGAAGATCTTGTAAGGCCACAAAAAGACACTCCATTACAGATACCCAAAATTAAGGTAACCAGTGTCCAGTGACTGATGGCGCTGCCCTTAATTGTCCTTTTCCAAGCCCGCCATAGGAATCCGTGCCAGGGAAGCGCTTTGCCACTTTGATCCCCGTTTCAGGCACCAAACGCACATCCTCTGTGCAGCGCAGGAGAAAGGCAGCTGCACGGCTTGCTTCAAGCAGCTGCCGTTCACGGGAAGGAGCAGAGATGCTCTCATCTCGAGTAGCTTGGGAGACATTTCCAGTATGAATCTTTCTGGAGATGTGAACTGCCTGTGGCATTATACACATTTCTGGGAAAAGATTGCCTTCGTGCCCTTGATGCCTGGAGGGCCAGAAGGCTTAGACGTGAGCAGCAGACAGGATTTAGCTTGCATTTGGCACTGAGGATGAAACACAGCACAGAAGAGCTACCCAGAGTCCCTTTATTTTATCATTGCTCTGTACGATGGATGGGCGGACCAGCATAACACCGCTGCACCAGGAGGACCTATGGGGGAAATGTGGTGGGCCAGGGACCGCTCCCTCACCTCAGGGACGAGATGAAATGCAGCTGCGAAAATTCATGGAGAATTCATGTCTCAGCACGTGCTCTGCCCAGAGGCTGGGTGCTGTGCTCCTCCTAAAGACTTCTGCAGGGGGAAGGGAGTGTGCACAAAGCCTGTTTAATTAGGCTTTGTGTGGGAAGGACCAGCTCCATCCCAAGTGGGATGGAGGATTACACGTCTCCTCCAGATGGCAAGATATTTTTTTTAAAGGCAAGGGAAAATAAGCAGGTGTGTGCATGGGGCCTACCTGTATTGGTTTTAATCAGCAACTTTAAGCAAACTCAGTGTTCTCATCAGAAAAGGGGAAAAATAAACAGCTGAGCACTGTGATTCATTTACACTTCAAATATACTTTGAGTTGGTTATTCCTCAATTAATCAAATAGCTGGTGTATCCCTAAAGTAGTATAAAGTGACACGCTGTGTGAAATCAATTTTCCCTTCCAAAATCATTAAATTCAGTAGCCTGTGACTACATCCCTGCTAATTCTAGTACCGGTCCTTTCATCCTCCATTAACTTTGGCACGCCTAACAGGCTGTCAAAAATAATTTCCCAGAACGTAAATAATTCAGAAATTAAAAATTAATAAATAATAACAGAGAGCTACTGGGAGATAGACTGGGTCAATTAGTCAGCTCTGCATTCTGTTTCTTCGCAGCAGGGGGGCAGCCACATTCGTTACTGGAATCTTTCCTCCGATTCCTAGGTCTGATTTACGGCTCTTCATTACTGGATCCAGTCAGACACAATTACCTCCATCACTATCTCAGTTCCTAACTTCAAAGAAACACACATTTTCTTGTCTGCTTTTTTTCTCCTTGCAGCAGCCTCAGCTTGACGTCCCTGGAATTTCTTCCATGCGGACTAATTAATAAGACTTTGACTTATCATATTCACTTCTCTTCTTTGATGTCCTACCTTAGTCAATCATCCTATTTAATTAGAATTTCAATGATAACTTTACTTATCTCGTGGCTAGATGTAAATTAAAATAACGGGATTTTAATTCTCTTTCTTACGGGGTTATGACATTTCTGACAGAAAAAGTTTCAACCCAAATATGATGTTATGTACTTTCTATGCTCGGAGTGCATTCCACTAAATTGTTTTTCCCTTTGCTACAAAATAATTTTGCTTGTTTAACAAGCTCCACTGAAATGGAAATGAACTACAGTTTCTTGTAAAGTAATTTGCACAGGTCCATGTTGTGAAAGGTTACATTGATATAAATGAATATCATCACTGTGACACGTCACGTATTTAACAAGGAAAGATGATGTGATTTTTAAGGTGGGGGGGGGAAGGGGAAGAAAAAGACTCCAGAGAGACTATGGACCACAGGACTTCTTCCTCTGTGCTCTGTTTCAGTCGGCTCCTAGTACATTTGCACGGCTTCTTGCTCTCTTTCCTCATTTAAAGATCTATTCCCGCTGTTTGTATTGGAGCAGCACACAAGATTGGATTCAGATTTAAATGAGGCATTTCTGAAAGACATACCTACTGCTGCTAGAGTTAACAGGAGCAGTACATCCCTCTGCCAGCGCTTTCTTTCTCTCTTTTGGCACCCAATACGTGCTTGCACATGGGCTTGCTTTCCTTCCTGTGCCTTTGAGAATTTGCCAGTCTATGACACTGACTGGACGTTGACAGGATAGAGGCAAATAAAGGTGACAACAATCACTCCTCTTTAAACTGAAGCTTATCATGCAGGAGAACCCGTGTATCTGCAGAGGCTGCTGAATCATAGGATCGATGGGAAGAGGCTGGTGGAACAGCAGAATCCTAGTAGGGCTTGGGAGATCCATTGAAGGGAGGCATGAGGGTCACGAAAGCAAAGAATGAGGATTTTCAGAGGTCCTGACAGGCTCGTCAGGCCTTACCCATGTTGGTACTTGTGCTTTTACTGAAATGGACTTTTCCATGTGAGGATGTGAATGGTTATGTACATAGACAGGGATTTTCAGAGGAAAGGAAAGTAAGGAGAGAACTGTGTAAAAAGAAAGCAAGGATGGTTAGCATAGAAAGAAATGGTCTTAAACTATGAACAAAGCAATCTTTTTGGTATGTTAAATGGAACATGGTGACAACTGGCTGGCCCATGCAAATGCTACGCTAATCTGCCACCAGAGATGGTTATCTTTCCAGTCATCTTTGTCAGAAAAGAGTTCTCTGGTTTCACACTGACAATAAGCAAATACATCCTGGAAACCTCATGGTTTCCTAAGGAAAAAGGCTGCATCCGCAGGCCCTATGCTTCCACTTTCCTAGCAGGGAAAAAATGCTTTTTATAGCTGCCACTGGTCCATTTCCAAGATGGTGGGCTGTGCATTTGCTATTCCATCCTCTTCCTTGTATTCAGGGAAAGAATGGAGGAGTCAATGAAAGGACTTGGAAAAACCTGCTCCCCAAAGAGGTGGTTTGGTCCTATGAAGAAGTATAAGTAATGGGGAGAGCTCCGAGCTCCTCCTTCAAATATTATCCCCACGCTAGATTGCACTAAACCAGTTGTCATAAAACTAACATTTGTACATGCTCTCACAACTGACTTTCCTGACAACCCTTTTCCTCTTGAAAGAAACTGAGAACGATTGAAAAATTAGGGCAGAGCATCACTGGCAGTGAGCTGCTGGCATTTAAGTGACAGCTTCTAAATTCACATCAGTCAAGTTCAGAGCCAGTTGAGTGAGCCCCAAAAATACCAGTACTGTTGTTCAGTAATAAAGCGGTAACCTGTTGCACTTGCAGCATCTCATCTAAACTGTTCCATCATCATTTAATAGTGTTGTTCTTTTAACAATTGGATTCTGTTACACTTTTATATGTAGGCAGGATTATTTAATGGGATTTAATTGGCTTTCTTATTCCCCTCGGGGTTCAGGGCTTAGAAAGTTCATATTAAAGACTCTAATTGCTCTGAAATGTACTTGTTGTCTGAAATATGCTCCAATTTTAAGTATACCCTAAAATCTAGTTCATACATATTTTCTCTTCCTTTGTGAATTAGAAAAATTTTGGTGTCCATAATTTGCACTTAAAAAGAGTCAATAATTACCCTCCCCCCCCACGCCCCCCCCCCAAAAAAAAAAATAAAAAAAAAAATCACAGATTGAAAAGAGGGAGGATGTGGCACGTTGAACTGCGAGCCACGAATCCATCAATAAGGCCAGCAGCACACATCAAAGGCTTCTGAGCGTGTGCTCTGCAAAAGCAAAGCTGAGGCAGCTAACAAGGCGTCCAGCTTTGCATGTTTCACGTGCAGCTCTCTGGCTACAGTGGCACAGCTACGTGTACTTCAGGTGCGTGACCTTTGGGGCCACCCCGCTGCCAAAAGCTGTGTCCTTGCAGCACCTCAAAGAAAAAGAGGGAAGAGGCAGGAACCGTAACTTCCAGTGGGTACAGGGGCGTAGCACCGGGGCCTCTTTGGGCCGTACCCAGCCCCTCCCACATTACCCTCCCCGTAATCCTACAACATGGCGACGCCCTTGCAGCTCCGCCGCCGTACAGCATGGCGGCGCCCAGCCTGACGCGCCGCTATTCCTTCCGTGTTCCGGAAGCGCCGCTATTTCAGTCTCGACGCGGGCGCTTCCGCTCCCTCTTCCGGATCCGGCGGCTCCAGGTATGGTGGCGAGCTACTGCGGGCCGCCGGCGTCTATTGGCGTCCATCCGCCGCCATCCGTTGACCGGCGAGCTCTGAGGGCGGCTCCGAGGGCTCCGCTGGTGGCGGTGGCGGTGGCTGTGACGAGGGGCTGGGGGCTAGGGGCTAGGGGCCGCATTCGGGTGGGCGGAGAAACAGGGCCGCTTCAGCGGCCTAGCGGCCGGGGTGCTGCTGTGGGGCCGGCGGCCGCCGTCGAGGCGGCGTCCTCTTGTTGGGTGGCGGCGTGCCCTCATCTGCTGTCAGCTCCGCGGCGGGCTGGGCCAGGAGCAGGCAGCGGGCTGAGTACGGAGCAGCGCTGCTGCGGCCGTTGTCACTGGAGAGGGGAAGGGAGGGCCGTGTTCGCTTCAGCGCAGCTTTTGGGCTCGGCGGTTCGGTGCGGATGATGCTATGGTTTGTGAACTGCCATCCGGAGATCGAGCTCTTAAACCGTTGCTGCTTTGGTTTTGCCTAGTTCAGGTGTGAAAAATGGTTCAGCGCCTGACCTACCGCCGTAGGTTATCCTACAACACAGCTTCCAACAAGACCAGGCTGTAAGTAAGCCAGAGTTGCTAGAAAATTTTCGGTGAAGAAAATTAAGCTTAGAGTTGGATTGTTGCATTGACTGTTTTGCTGCCGTTTAGGTCCCGAACACCTGGAAACAGGATTGTTTACCTCTACACCAAGAAAGTAGGGAAAGCACCGAAGTCAGCATGTGGGGTATGCCCAGGACGGCTTCGTGGTGTAAGTCTTAGGGTTGCTGGCATAAGAGTTTGGCAGCTATTTCTTTCCTTTTTTCTTGTTTTAATGTTAAAATTCTTTTCTTGTTTGATATCTGTTTCATGAATTGTATCATGAATTCAAGAACAGCCTTTTGTTTTAAATTTTTCCATTTGAATATTGTAAGGTGGAGCTGGTAAAACAGTTTGGAAGCATAAGGAACAGGTGCTTTTTTTTAGTGTGTGTGATTCTCATTGCTATTATCTGAACCTGTGTGAGTTAACTTTTAACTGGCTGCAGTTGTTTCAAGTTAGATCTAGATTAATGTGTTGCAGGGCTAAAACTTAGAATTTGATCTATTAGGTAGATTTTTAAAAAAACAAGCATCATTTGACTATGATTTTTAGGAAAAAAGGACTGACTTTTGTATTTTAATGTGCTATTTTATTCCCAAACTTCCCTCATTTGATGCTGTTGCCTTCAATGGCAGATCAGAATGTTTGAGTATCAACTTATTTTCAATCAGCTTCTACCTTTACAAAGATTATCGTTTTTAATAATAAGCAATTTAAAAAACAGTGAATATGTTTCAAAAGCAGTAGAATGGAAAAATCAGCTTTGGAATGCTGCAGGCAGCATGGATACAATGTGTGGCTTCACTTCCTGCCTGTTCAGTAATCAGCTTTAGATGCTGCTGGGGCTTTTTGAAGTCAAACTATCCAAGTCTATTTCCATAATACAGCTGTTACCCAAAATTAGGCAGCGCTCTCATTTTCTTCCGATTTTCGCTTCGTATAGGTGCGTGCTGTGCGTCCTAAAGTTCTTAAGAGGCTGTCAAAGACAAAGAAACATGTCAGCAGAGCCTATGGTGGTTCCATGTGTGCTAAGTGTGTCCGTGACAGGTAAGCATATAGCAAACTAACTCTATTCTTAAGGTCACTTCATGTGAGTTTTGAATCTTACTGCATCTTCGTAGTGTAGGGAGCGTGTATAAACAGGAGAGGGAGTGGCTGTTACAAGGTTGGATAGCGATAGGACAAGGGGGGATGGTTTTAAGCTAAGACAGAGGAGGTTTAGGTTAGATATGAGGAGGAAGTTTTTCACACAGAGGGTGGTGACACTCTGGAACAGGTTGCCCAAGGAGGTTGTGGATGCCCCATCCCTGCAGGCATTCAAGGCCAGGCTGGAATGTGGCTCTGGGCAGCCTGGTCTGCTGGTTGGTGACCCTGCACACAGCAGGGAGGTTGAAACTCGATGATCATTGTGGTCCTTTTCAACCCAAGCCATTCTGTAATTCTGTGGTTTCTGTTCTTCTGTTGTCCTATGTTCTTTTGCTTTGTCTTATGCAAAGATGTTAGTAAAAGATCATGCTAACTCATTTTTTGGGACCCACCGATGTAGTTGTCAGCATTTTACGTAACTTAATGCAGTTAAGCTTTAAGTTGACTTTTGCTAGGCATCCCTTAATGAAGCTTTATTGTGTAACAGCCATGTGTCTGTTTACTTCCTTGATAAAGTTGAGGAATACTGTGTATTACAAACAATATGTCATCCCTGTGAATAGTAATCAAAGCAGATCTCTGGAGGCAGCGGTGTAATGCCGGTTTTTCATCTGTAGTGCAAATGTTGCCAGCCTCTTCTTTTCTCTTCTGTGAGTTCTAAGCTAAATCGCATTAGGTGCTGCTTGAAGACAGGTTGTTACAGCTGCAGGTCTTTAGCATAACTTTTCAGTGTTAAATACCAGTCTTTTGAGTGTTTCCCACACACTGTGATATTGATAGTTTGCTTTTAACAGATGTGTGCCTGTCTGTCTTTGCCTGAAAGTACACCTCCTTCCCTGCAGCTGGCAGTTCTTTGTCTTTTGTCTGTTGAAGCCTTGCTGGTAGGCTGTTTTTGCTTTTAACTCAAACTCATCAAATAGGCTGTTGATGTATGAGGACTACCACATAGATCTGTCTACATGGTGGACCTGTATGCCTTCCAGAAATAATAATTGTGTTCAGGCATGACTTAACCTGCCCGTCTTCATTTATGGATGAAGACACTCTAATCCTGGGAGAGCAGCTGCTGTTGTTTCGCTGACTGGACTCATGTCAATTCTCCTGTAATTCTGATGGAGGAAACTTGACTAGCTGGTCTCACCTGTTATTATTTTAAGAACTGTTAAATTAATTTGCTGTTGAGGATTTCAGCTTTTTTTTTTTTTTTTTTCCTTTTAAGTTAGTGAAGCCATCGAGCATTGCCTTATCTGCCTACAAGGCACTAACCCTACATTTGCAAACAAACAAAGGCTTTTTCCCCAAACCTCCACATTTGTATGCTGCCACTGCCCCTGCTCTTATCTTTTGGTGCTGGCAAGAATGCTCACAGCTTTTTTTAAACTAATATGGAGCTAACACCACACATAGAACATGAAGCACTGGGGCCAACAAAACTGATTGCAGCTTTCTTCTTTTGTGTTCTCAGTTGATTAGATGCATCTCCTGATGGTGTTGTGCTTCCTTTCCAGAATCAAGAGAGCTTTCCTTATTGAGGAGCAGAAGATCGTTGTGAAAGTGTTGAAGGCACAAGCACAGAGCCAGAAGTCAAAGTAAATCTGTTTGTATTTTCTGCCCAATAAATGAAAGTTCCACTTTCCTGGTGTCTTGTCTTTCTGCATGCTGATGAAAGCTGGTAAGAGCTGCTCACAGCTTGGTAAAGGCAAAAATGGATTTTGATGCAGCAGAAACAGTTAGGATACTGTGTACAGTCATGGGGGCAAAGCAGGCCTGCCTGAACAGGGCTCCCAGCTTTGTCTCAGAATCCCGAGGCAGACTGGAGTAACTGAGCAACCCTTTTTTCATGGCAGCAGCTGTGCATGAAATGACTGGAAGACATCTAAAACAGAAAAGCAGACAGCTGGCTAAAGACTAGAAGACAGTGCCAGATGAAGAGGAGCAGAGCTAGAGTAAGCCAAAGGTAGTTTCTTGTTTGTTTTTGTAGTATGTTCCGCAGTTCACTGCTATTTGAATCCGAGGGTAGAGGGGGATTGTCTGACTTGAAGTTAGTGCTGTGTCTGCTAGACCATCGCGTGGTCTGGATTTGGAGGAAAGCTCCAGCTGCTTTGCTCAGGTCACTTGTCAGGTGCTTCCTGGATCTGCAGCTGTAGGCACCATCTGAGCAGAGCTCCGGGTGAACAGACTCTTAATAGCTCCGAGAATCGGCTTTTAGAGTAGCAGCAGGAAAGGAGGTAAAATATTTGAATGCAGACCTTGATCCCAGACGGATGGCATTTGGAGGTGATTCTATGATCACTTGGGTCCATTCAGGCTGCGCTTCTGAGAAGCGTACAAAAGGAATTTTTTCCTGCTGGCTCTGTGCTGGCTGTTCACACTGTGCCTCACTGTGTAGTCTGCTCCTCAGCTAAGAGATGTATAATGAGAAGAATGACAAGAAGAGCTTGGGATGTTGGGATCAGCTGCCTGCAAGCATGCAACACTTTGTCAGCATTGCCTCTGAGTGATGGAGGTGGCTATGATCCTGCACACACCAACACTGCACAGGGCCAAGCCTGCTGTACCCCGGAGATTCATTTCTTCAGTGCCCCAACTCATTACAATAATGTTCTCAGAGCAGCTTGATGTTGCAGTGCAGTAAGTCACCTAGTTGTATGAGGCCTTCCTGTCTCATCAGGTTGTGCTGAAATTCCTTCTGAAAGCTGCAGCTCGTTAGAGGCTGCTTTAAGTGCTAAGATTAAACATGCTGACGTTTTTAGGTGCTGTTACTGTACTTTACACGGTTAAAACTGTATTAGTTGTTGCCTTCCTGCACTAGTAGAAACTTTGGTGCTGTGGTTTAAGTAGGGCAAGCATGGGGCTCTGGGAAAGAGGCAATGCTGGAGGCAGAACAGTTGAAGAAGAACTGAAAAAATGCCATGAACAGGCATTTTATTTAACAGGCAGAAACCTTAGCTAATTACCAGCCGGGATTCTATCCAACGCTGGGGAAGGACGGTTCCTACCGGGGCGAGGGGCAGTGCTCCGCCGGCTCAGCCGAGGCTGCTCGGGCCGCAATCCCCGTTCCCGCGGCCGCCGAGCGATCGTCCCCGCTCACCCTGAGGGCGCTGCGTGCGAGGAGCGCTGCTGCCCCCGCGCGGCCCGTCTGTCCTGCGGGCAGCGCTCCGTCCGCTCCGCCCGCTCCGCCGCGCTCCTCCCGGCTACTCGGTGGCGACACGTCAGGGCTGCTGGGCCCTGGCAGGTGGGTAAAGTGAATCGTTACGCTCCGAGGAGCGGCCTCGGCTTCCGGATGTTTTTCGCAAATCGAAGGCGTCCGCAGAGAATATCTTACGTTCCAGCGTCGCTTTGCGGGGATTTTGTTGGTTTCATCTTTTTTTTTTCGCTTTTCTTCTCTTTACTCGCCCCTACCAGGACCCGGCTGGCTTTCCGTTTCCGCCTTCGTGTGAGCAAAGCGCCCGGCGGCGCGGGACCGGCGTACGGACCGAGCCGCCGCCATGGAGACGCTGTTCCGGCTGCCCTTCGCCGTCCTCGAGTGCCCCAACATCAAGCTGAAGCGGCCGGGATGGGTGCACATGCCCTCGGCCATGACGGTCTACGCGCTGGTGGTGGTGTCGTACTTCCTCATCACCGGAGGTACCGCCGCGCCGCGCCGCTCCAGGGGAGGCCGCGGCGATGGAAGCCGCGTGGCTGAACGTCCTGCGGCGCCCGGCGGGCCATAGGATGCGCTGCCCGCCTGCCAGCTGTCGCCTTGGTTCTCCCCCTTCGCTTGAGACTCCAAGCTGACGCTGTGTGTTTGTTTGTTTCCTCGCAGGAATTATCTACGATGTGATCGTGGAGCCCCCCAGCGTGGGCTCGATGACGGATGAACACGGGCACCAGCGGCCGGTGGCTTTCTTGGCATACAGGTAGGAGCAGCGCCACGTACACAAACATGCGTGAAGGAGCTGTGCCAGCTTACCCTGAGCTTCCCAAAAGGCTGAGCCCATCCGAAATCTGGGCTGAGATTTGCAAATCTGAAATAAAACCGTTAAAATACAGCAAAAATTAGAAAAATTAGATCTTTCAAAAGCTTGTAGGACTGTATATTTTGGTAACGAGTAGGTTTTGATCTGGTACTACTTCCAGTTTTTCCTACCTATTTGTTTTTTTTTACTGGGTGCAGATGCATGGTGATATAATCTTCATGCAAAGCGATGGTCTGGCCTTTTAGCTTTTAATGTAATTGAGAGTCTTGTGCCTGAAGGTTAGAATACATAACATGGATGCCCCATCCCTGGAGGTGTTCAAGGCCAGGTTGGATGGGGCCCTGGGCAGTCTGGTCTAGTATGTAATGTGGAGGTCGGTGGCCCTGCCTGCGGGGGGTTGGAGATTCGTGATCCTCGAGGTCCCTTCCAACCCAGGCTATTCTATGATTCTGCGAACATGCAAATACAAAATAGATGTTTGCACCTATTACTGACAATAAGCAAGAAATTGCTTAGTCAGGACCTGGTCTAAAAATACTTAATCTATACATGTTAATTTTTTTTCTCTATGAGTGTATGTGTGCGAGAATCACAGTTTGTATTTTTATTTTTTTAAAATACCAGAACCATTCTGTAAGTCTGTGTCATGCATCGTGTGTAAATTTTGATTTGAGTTGGATGTAGTGTATGACTCAGACTGGGCTGGATTGTTGCAGTGTGCACACGCTGGGCTCCTGCAGGGAATTGACTGGACTTGAATACAGTTCAGCAGAAACAACGTGCAAGAAGGTGGTATTGACGATTTTAAGGATCTGTGGCAAAAATGATCATTATCATTTCAGTATTAGCATGCGTACATAGCAGTTTCAGTTGTACCACGTCTATGAAGTTGCTGGTATTGCTGATTACAGTAATAGAAAAAGGCTTAGTTATTGTTGCATGCAGAAGATCCAGTTGCATGCCCAGCGTGCAGGTAGCAAAACACTCTGCAGACAGGAGCCTTTTTTGCTGTGTGCTGGAACCTGCAGGTGTGCTTCACGTGCTGGCACAGTACTCAGAATGGGGTTTGTTCCAGGCTGAGAATTAGGGAACAGCTGCCTAAACATCATGGTGGAAATAAGTTTCGGAGAGCTTGTTGGCCCCAGCTCTGCACCTTGAGTCATCTGTGAAAGCTGGTGCTACTTTTGGAGTAGATATTTCTGTAAGCTGATGAGCTTGCATGGTATCCAATGCTGTATGCTGCTGTGCATGAAACCATCATGTTCTTGCCCGGTTGCTTTGCAGGCTGTTAGTGGAGGAAATAAATTACATTTAACAGTTTTAATGTAGTTGCATAATGTAAATTTTCTGAATTTACTTAGTTAGGAAGTCATCCAGCAAAGTTAATAACTTGAGTAGCTGCATTTTGAAGTACAGATAGTTACTTTAAATCTAAACTTTTTCTAACATCCTACCATCTCCCCTCTGTTTTCTTCTCCTGTAGAGTAAACGGACAGTATATTATGGAAGGGCTTGCATCTAGCTTCCTGTTCACAATGGGTGGCCTAGGATTCATAATTTTGGATCGATCCAATGCACCAAATATCCCCAAGCTGAATAGGTTTCTCCTGCTCTTCATTGGATTTGTCAGCGTGCTTTTGAGCTTCTTTATGGCCAGAGTTTTCATGAGGATGAAATTACCGTAAGTAGCGTTTTATTCTCTCTGTTTTTGTCCTCTTTTGTGGCAGCAACAGTAAATGTGAGCTTAGCAGGAAATAAAACCAGGTGTTCTAAACATCTGGACCTTGGCTATAAATTGCTTTTCTTCAGTGCTTTTTTGGAGCAACCTATCTTGAACAAAGTGGGAAAGTTTTGGGCTCAGCTGCTCTAAGATTGCACTGTGGTTTAAAAAGAGGTGACAGATCCTGGTAGGTCACATGATACGATTGGTGAGTACGAGTTGTAATTAATGTTCAGTTAGAGTGAACATGGCAGATGAATCGTTTCTGTTGACAAGGTACATGAAAGGTGGTAACTAAAAATACTGAGTGCAGTGAAATGGGTTTTCAGAAGTATCCAAGGCAGACCTAAAGTACAGGTAATGCAGGCTTTTTTTTTTTTTTTTTGTCTGTTGCTGCAAAACTGAACATAACATTGAAGCAATATATGTGACATTTTGATACATTGATACTCAAAGACTGAAAAGTAGGAAAGATCTGAAGCTGTCAGGCTACGTAGTAACCAAATGCAAGAATTCCAATTTCTGTTTTCTCTATTTCTATTTTATTTAGAGTAGCCGAAACCAGGAGTTTAGAGGTACCAGTAATTAATTTCTGGAGTAGCTCTGTGAGGTGTTGACTTCATAGAATAGAATCATAGAATCATAGAATCACCAAGGTTGGAAAAGACCTAAAAGATCACCCAGTCCAACCGTTCACCTATTCCCAATAGCTCCTACTAAACCATGTCCCTGCACACAACATCCAGCCTTTTCTTGAACACCCCCGGGGTCAGTGATTCCACCACCTCCCTGGGCATCCATTCCATTGCCTGACCACCCTTTCTGAAAAGTAATACTTCCTAACTTCGTAATGCCAGTTATCACTCCTTGCTTAAATATTTATTTACTCTTCATGTGTATTAAGAAAATGTGTTTCACAATGCAGATGCGTTGGGTTCCTCGGTTGCTGGATAACAACCTGCTGTATATTTTTCTTGTTTCATTGATTATATGTGTTGTGACGGTTGTTTTTCTTAAAATCTTCAAAGAAACAAGGCTGCAGAGAAGTTGAGGAGAAAAAGAGCCCAGAATTGTGTTCAGTGTCGGGGGATGTCAGGACATACTGAATGTCTTAACGCTGGCAGTTTGTGTAAAGGGTAAAATAATACAGCTTTCCAAAGGTGTAATGTGGGCTTCAGAAATTCTAAGCAATTGCTGGAGTTGGATAGAGAGCAATGAGCAGTGTGATCCATTTTCAGGGCTCATTAAATGAATTGAGGAAGGAGCATGTAGTTAAGTGGGCTGGTGTATACCTTGCGCAGGATGTACGTACTAAATAGCCTTGATATTAAGAGTGTTTTGGCAAGCTGTGGCTTTTGGTTTAATATTGTTAAAGTTCCTCGCTTTTTGAGGCGGTCCTGCCTTTGATTGCTAACTTTGTTCCTAACTTAATTTTGTTCTGTAGGGGCTACTTGATGGGTTAGTACCTCTTGTGATGTGTGAAAGCCCGAGGTGCATTTACTCCTCTTCCTGAAGTGTTAAGAAGCAGCAGCAAGAAACAAATTCCACAGTCACTGCCGACAGGAAACAGACCTGAACATGGGAAGCGTCTCAAGAGAGTGCTCTCTGCAACCAGTCTTAAACTACTGATGGCTGATTTGTCATTTTAAAACAGCAGTTACTTAGTTGTGTTGTTCTTGTTTTTTAATTTCCAACGAAACAGAGAACCTGTCTTTAGCTCTGCCTTGAAATGAATATTGCCCCTTGGTTTTACAGTTTTTTGTTGCAAGGCCTGTCCCTTCTTTCTTGCGTGGGAGAATTGTGTGAATTGGACAAGAAACACCTGAAACGTTTTCCCAAGTTAAAGTCTGAAAATAAACAACTGGATGCTTTACAGTCCAAACGCAATGTGTCTGAAATGATTTCAAAGGCACCTTTTGCCTTATTATTAATGGCTTCGTATGAGTAATTCCAGACGTGCATGGGAAGAGGCAAACTGTATGAATGTGCTTTTGTTTGTAAAAAAAATGTATGAAAGAAGCCAAATAAAACTTATTTTCTATGAAGTTATTTGAATTTGATCTATTTTCTGAAACTTTTTCTCGAGTATGCGTCACGTATTCTGCATCCAGGCTTGATATGCTCTACTGTGCCGTGAATGCATAATTTCTGCTTTATTTTTCATAGTTGGTCAGTTTGTGTTTTTTATCAATATCAAGGGCAAGAGACCTCATACTTTCTGTGCACTTGTCCTGTATCTAAATGACATTATCACCAATCAAATTAATTTACTTTTGTAGCTGCTGCGTTTCTGTTTGAGAGTTGAGGCTCCAGCTTGTTTTTGTCTTCATTTAAAAGACTGGATGTTACCACCATGCTTCATTAAAATGTGTTTGGGGGTAGGAAGGATCTAAACTGACAGAAACGTTTTTTCTGCGAGCCACGTGAGTTTGGGGCACTATTTTTATCTGTGTAGTAAATGTCACAGAGATGTTTTTATTCCCTTAGTTCTATATGTATCTCTGCATGTACCTAACCTAATTTCAGAGCTAGCTGTTAATTATTTACCCTTGGTGTATTCTCTCATTCGTACACACGTTATGTTTCCATTCCCTCATTCTTGCATGCGATATGACTTCTGTGTTTGTTCATCTTAAGTGTGTTTTATTAAGATTTAGGGTAGCTGAAGCTGCTCCGTGAGGTTAAGAACTGCAAAGTTCTGTTCCTTTCAAAGTGATTATCTTGTGGTTTCAGATTTTGGTGTGACACATGCTTTCTTTCAAGGGAAGAGATTTGATGTTATGTAAGTCAATAGCAGTACATAATACATCTGGGGGAAGTCAAACAAGACAGACATATCACTGAGTACAGTTGTTCTGATCTCCCTCTCGCTTGGTACTTTTCCCATCACTGTTCAACTTCAGCCTCTGGATTTGCTGCCAAATCCAAATGAGCACACTCTTGAACATTGATTTTAATTACGTACTTGAATGTCTACGCATAGTCTGCGAAATGCATTTGGTTATAATTGAACCTTAAGTGATCTAACATGAAACAAAATGGATTTGTGAGTGCACAGTTTTGGAAAAATAAGACTAAGGCAATGTCTCCAACAAACAAGGTTAAATAATCTGTTTCTTTGATCACAGGTTTTGAACCTGAATCTGCTCAGATCCTATGCTCAAGCAGAGGTAGAGAGAGAACAAGGAAACAGTTTCCAGAGCAGAAGATAAACCACCCAGGATCCAGGTGTGTTCTAGATAGGAGCATTTCACTATGTGTAGTTGAAGACTGGTTTATTTGGGATATGGACTGGGGGCTTCGTGGTCACATGCGGAAAAATTTCTGCAGACACTTTCACATCAACTGCAAGGAAGGCATTGCTGTACACTGTGGGAGTCATTATCAGAAAAAGAAAGCCTGGTATTTTATGTAAATGTCTGCTGTTCTTTACAGGTAACAGCATGTGGGTTTTAGTAGGGTTTTAGTGTAGTTTAAAAAAAAAAAAAAAGACAAAAAGAAAACTTCAATTACTGATACTTCCCATCTGCGTTTGGTGCTCTCAACTAGCATGAATGCAACTTGAGTGTGGTGTGAGAAATTAAAGTTGAAATACTGTGATAAAGCACAGCATACAGGAACACATCTTTCCTTGATTAAAAACAGCTGTTTGGCCTATTTCCAAGTAACAGAAGAGTCAGACTGAAGTCTAGAGGTTCTAATTTTCTGACTTGCTGGAGAAAATACTGAATCTGTGCCTCCTCTAGGCTTCAGTATAATCTTGGAGCAATGATGCCTCATTAGTGTAGATGTGGTATTTACAACCTTCGTAGCTTTTGAGAGTTAGCATACACATAAATGAACTTTTAATAAAATTAACTGATTTAAACAAAAAAAAAATTGATTTAGGTAAAAAAAAAAAAAAAAAAAAAGTCAGATGTTCTGGTTATGTTCTGGTTTCCTTTTTTTTTCCCCAGTACAATTTCTGGATTTCTGCAAATTATGCAGCAGCAGTGTGTTTGGAAGGCCTGTACCACTGAAACAATTTTTGGCAGGTGTATGGAATCTATTAGGTCCTGGTCTGAACCAGTGATTGAGCACCTGTGCAGGGGTGTAACCAACCCTGGGAGCACAGGTGGAAGCAATTCACTCTTGTGACCCCTGCATCCACAGTTCCCTAACCTCATTTGAGGGCTGGCAGCCACAAGGAAAGCATCTCTACTGGGAGATCACCTCCTTTGGAGTGTTGGGTGAGCGCTGATCCTCAGAAAAGAGTAAGTAATTCCTTTTTTGTTACCTGATGGCAATTGCTGCCTTTCTTGGGTGATCTGGAACTGGTTTTAAGTAGTTATGTCTGCTGCCTCCTGTCCTTATATCGGGAGTATGATGTTTCAACCATATTGAGGGCATGCTGATGAATACTTTGCTAGTAAAGATAATCATGGCATTTTTATAAGTCTGAATTTGAACTTGCAAAAAATGTATAACTTAATTAAAATGTATGATGCTTCTTAAAAGTAAGCTTATTTTTTGGTATGAAGCGGTCCACACTGATGTCTGAAATAAAATGGAGATCTTTCTTAGCCTAAGTGGAATGTTTTGAATTCACAGCATTTTGATTCTGAATTGGTTGCACTTAATGGAATCTTGTGTCATTCTTTTGAAGCTAGATGCTTGTTCTAGTTACCTACTTTATATGCATAAATGTATTCTCTTAAGGTATTAATTAAGAAGCTCTAGTTACTAGTAATTGAAGCAGTCGTAAATTGCTGCTGCTGCAATTTACAACAAAGGGAGTACATTTGGTTACGGGGAAGATGGCGGATCTCACTTGCCTGATGCACTTGGGAATGCTGTATACAAAAGAAACTTTTTTCCTTGCAACATCACAGTGGCTGTGAAATAAATGTGAAACTTGTGTGAAAATGATGATTGTGTTTTGCCTTCAGTGCTGGCTTTCTTCAAAGAGTTGCAGTGTTGGCTCTGACTTACCATTAGAATTTCTAGTTCCTGCTTTTCAATTTGTGGTTGTTTTAGAACATTTTTCTTCCAGAGCTTGGTTAAAGAGGTTTGAAACAATTGCAGAAAATGAATGAATTGAAATGATTGGAAGAACCTCAGAAGAACACAATCTTGTAACAATTTACAGTGACCCAGAGGCATTTCAGCTGTGCTAATTACTGGAGAACTGAAATTAGGATTTCAGTGGCAGGAAAATACGCAATTAATGCATCTTAGAGGGTGGTGTTGGTGGGAAAGTTAACTGATGGAAGTAGGAGAGTAGGTGAGAACTAATGCTGCTGGTGTCCTTTTTGTTGGGTGTAGATCAGCTAAGAACTGAACTAAGATCACAAGCTTTTCTTATTTATTAGAACAACAGCTGTGGCACTGTAATGGGAGGCAGGCCTGCCCAGACTTGCACCATGTTTTAACTGGTGATATAGAAGTGAGGAGCTGCATTCTGATTTCTTGAATTATTAGGTGACTTGCTAAGCTGCTGTTTAATGGTATCAATTCAATTACTAATGTCTTTTTGATACAAGATGAAGTTTCATTTACATCACATAACTGCCATATAGGTTCTGTAAATGTCAAAGCTGTTAGGCTGTTTTACCTGTGGAATGCAAGAAATAGTGTTTAGCTATAAGTAAATCAGATCAATGTGGTATCATCTGCTGACTTAAGAATGCAAAAGACTGGCGTTAGGAATTTCCTTTTATGTATCAATTTTCACTGCAAAGTTCAGCGCTGAGGTGGGAACGTGGATGCCTTTATTGGTGGCGGTAACTGTGCTCAGCAGCAAACAGGGATATTCTAGGGTAAAACTTCAAGGGGACGTGCTTTCTGTATTCCTTAGTAAACAGACTGAAACAATTTGGGAACTTCTAACTTTCTGACAGCTCTTGGATGATAGATAATATATTCTCCATATTCAACATTCCAGTACCTCATCTGTCTGGAAATGCAGATGGAGGGTGTGAGGGATGTGGAATAATAAACCAGAATCAACTTCAGTCTATGATAAAGCTTTAGGAGGTAAGGATTGTGTGTAGAATAACTGGAAGGAAGTGGTAAGATGATAATTAGCCAACTCTAATTTTTCAAGAGTAAGCCATGGAGAGGTATGGACCCTTTAAGCAGAAGAAAAGCAGATGTTTTTTCAGCTGCAGCTTTTGAAGCTGTCTTGCATGTTATGGAAATCTGGTCTATCTGAAACAACTGTAAACTGGATGCAGAAGTACTTCGAAAACCGTTTTTAGAGATGGCTTACTGATTAGCTCATATCCTTTTATCAGAGTGAGTTGGTTTGTTTTTTTTTTTTTTTTTGAGGACCATCCCTAGGCTAGATTCATCCAACACCCAGTGACCTGGATAGAATGGGCAGTACTTACTACATTAGCATACATCTAAGAGACTGCTGAAAGTCAGAATAAGGATGTAGCATAGTTATCTTGAGAGATCAAATAGTGCCCTAAAAGGAACTAATTGGCTTACTCACTTTTGTTCCAAGTGCAAAATAGGTTAGATTGCAGTTGGACTTGATGGTCTTCAAGGTCTTTTCCAACCTGAACAATTCTATGAAATAGTAAAGATAAATAAGCAATATAGCTGGCAAAATGTGGTGTTACTCCTGGTAAAGTATTCTAGGGATAAAATAGTTGACTACCTGACTAAGTTGTCTATAGCGGTGATGATATTTCCACTGTTTGGAGCTTTAAGAGCAAGGCCCTTCGAGCATCTGTCAAAATTTGCTGATAAGGCTAATATAGCATTGGTGTGAAAGATTTTTTTGAAGTGTCTTCCGCCAGCTGCCTATTTTCATTACTTCAGAGGTGAGAAGGAAACTTCTGACCTTCCAAACACTGCTACTCTGTATCTTTAAAATTAGTAATGGAAAGGTCTTTCTGTAAGCAACTGTACACCAACAAATATACAGTTAGCAGAGTAGCTTGGCTAGGCTGCTTTTTTATGGGTTGTAAATCTAGAAGAATTATCACAGTGGAAGGAGATAATTGAAAAGAAATGAAAATGCCCACCTGTATCCTCGGCTTGCAGAAAAACTCCA